AACCAAAAACAGAATTAACTTTGTTACAATTACGAGGTAAATTGTAATGAAGGTCATTTTTCTTCTTTCTTTTTCTTCCTTCTTTTCTTCCTTCTTTTTCTTTCCTTCGTTTTCCTTTCCTCTTTTATCTTTCCTTCTTTTCTGCCTTCTTCTTTCCTCTTTTTCTTTCCTTCTTTTCTTTCCTTCTTTCCTTTCCTTCTTTTTCTTCTTCTTTCTCTTTCTTTTCTTTCTTTCTTTCTTTCTTCTTTTCTCTCTCTTCACCTAGAACCAATGCTTTTAGAATGGAAATTCATTAAGTTATGACAAAATGAAATGACTCATTTATAAGTAAACTTGACATTTTGCTCGATATCGCTAGTAAGTCATTTTTTACTTTTTGCAATCATTTTTAATGCATTTTTATATCTGATTTGATCGATTTTAATATCATTTAATATGACTTTGATTCAAAACAATTATATGAGTTGCCAACAAATGCTTACTACAGAATCCTGAAGTTGCCTATTGATTTCTTGCTCATATATTGTAATGTCAGACCGTTTGATTACAATGTAATGTAATCTAACGTTCCTGCTACGCCTATCGGTGCCACAGTCATTTTGGCCCAAAAATTAATTTTTTTTAAAATAATTTTTTTTTTATTGTTTTTTTTTTTTAAAATTAGCCCGTCATAGCTAGTGTGGTGGAGAAGGTGTGTCGGTGTGTTTGTCTCATATACTGGCTGTCGGACCGTTCTCCTCCTCACCCTCCACCTCCCCATAAATAAAACAGAATTTTCTTTTAAAAAAACAGTCCAAAGCGGAAAGTTTGCAAGCTGAGTTCAAACTTTGAACAGAAGCGAAAGACACCGATTTACATACACACTTCAAACAGCTAATGTTGTTCATCCTGAGCAGAATGCTTTTGATTCAAATTTTTTTATGTCTTAGTTGGTTTTGTTTATTAAAGCATTTTTATAATTGATCATTTTTGGCAATTTTTCATCATTCACATCTACCCCCCTAGTTGTAACACGGCATTCTCTATGCAGTTTTAATACTTAAAATGGATTCTTTAGCAAGCAATCATTACAGTACAACTTATTCTTTCCCTAATTTGCAAATTACCATTTTGAACATTCTATAATTCAATACAATTCGTTGAACATGTAATTTCTTAGCTACAAAATATTTCAAAGCCTTTTTGCCGTATATATCAAGTAAGATTTAATTAATTAACTAGGAATTGATTTTTTTTTAGAAATTTTTAAAATATGTTCCACCCCAAAAGGAAATGGCAAAAAAAATGAGCAAATTATAAGAAGGCAATAGCAAAAAGTGGCAATGAAAAAACAAACAACAATGTGTACACTTATTCCTGTAGTCTTGGGACGTAGAGTGGTTTTAAAGTTCTCAACTTTTTAAAGATTTCAAAAATTTTTCGATCGCACTCATCTTTTAGACAGGTTAGGAGCCCGATTGTCTCATTTGTAATATGCTTACATGTTTGTGTGATTTTGCTTTGCAGCTGATATATACACTGTTCCTTGGATCCCTTATATCATTTCTTGGATCCCTGTCTTTTTCGAACTTTCTCATATCAGCTCTATAGCATCACGCACAACACACGGACTAGGTGCAGTGAAACTCTCAAAACATATTGTTCTCGAGATCGTTAAGAAACAAAAATGTAGCAAGTAATGGACCATGTGTGAATTAAGTGCTCATGAATTGAATTATTAACATTAGACATTTGTTACATTTTAAATTTTTATTAAATGAATTCCTTTTCATATCAATACTTATGCACTGAGCATCAAACCTGGTATAGTTTGAACGAGACAAGGAAGACGTAAATAGTCATAGATAATAGTTGAAATTATTAATAAATTAGTACGAACAACTTAACAATTAGTGATGTACTTACAACGCTACTTGGTTTACCAAGATGCGCAAACAAGAGTTAAATAAGTTCCTATTCGGCAAC